TCGTCAGAGTCGCTTCCTCCAGAACCGTCAAGAGGGAAGACGATGATGCGACCCTTCTTTCCCTTGGGAACAGTGACAACGCAGTACTTGGCATTGCCAGCGCCGGTGCCGGCTTGGTTGCTGGTCACCTCCCCAACAGCATTGGCAGAGGGGTCAATAGAGCAAGGAGTGCCATTGCAGCCGCCATCAGGGCACTCGATCCTGACTCCGTAGGTAGGCTTCGTGTTCTTGAGCGCGGAACCCTCCCAGATGGGGTTGTAACCGAGAGTGACGAAAGTTCGGCCCTGACCGTCTTGGTTGGCTCCCGCGACGTAGGCAGCCCAGTTACCAACTGCTTTGGAGGAGTCGCCCCAGATACAACCCTCATCCGTAACTCCGGGCGGGTTGATGTAGTAGCTAGGCATCATTAGTCTCTTCGTTTTGACCCATGTTCGAGACAGTAAACTCACTGAGCACTGGTGCTGCACCAGTAACTAGGGTCGGGAACAGCAAGGGTGATTGACTTGTCAATGACGCTGGGAATGAGCATAGCCTCGTTGCCCGGCAGAACAGTTTGGCAGAAGGACAAAGTCTTGCCACACTTGTTGTAAACCTCAACGGTACCTGCTCCATCAACGCAGTAGGGAGAGCCCTTGATGGGCTTTGAGGCCTTGCCGTCAGAACCACAGTACAAGCCACCGTTCTGAGCTGGTTAGCCTGCGAGCTGCCGTGCGAGAAGTCGGGGGAATTCTTACCATGGACGAGGGATACGTGTAGGTCGAATCGGGCTCCCATTGCGCCATGACTTTGCCGGCTTTGCAGGCAATAGGGCAGTAGCTTCCTTCAACACAGGCTTGATCGGGGCTCATAGCAAAGCCATTGTTCATGGCACCGGGGACCTTGACCAGATCGCCATCGCTGGGCAAACTGCAGATGGCCTTGCCATCAGAAGTTCTCTTGATGACATCCCTCTCAGCAAGCGTCTCGATCTCCTCGTTGGGGCCCAGACCGGACTTCAACTTGTGAAGGTGTCGGTGAGTTCCATCATGAGCCTCGGCGGGTTGGGCAGAGAGCAGGACCAAAGCCGAGCCCACGGCAGCCTTAATGGTAGAGAGCTTCATCTCGGAAGCGGGGTTTCGACAAGAGTCGACGTGGTTTCCTCCAAAGACAATTCAAAAAAGAACAGGATCTGATTCCTGGTGGTCGGCGCGTCGCGCAACGTGGTGGCAACGGCGGTCGGATTTTGGCGTTCGGATTCAATGCTACAACATGGAAATGGCGAAGTGGAATGGCAACAGCGCGTGAGCGTGTTGGATTCGTAAAGAACGTGATGTCTTCGAAAGCGAATGACTAGACAGCGAATGTCGGTGTAAAGAGCGGAACGTCTCAAAGCAGAGACTGGGCAAGGCGTAAGGATGCGGTGCAAGGACAAGAGAAAGAAAGAGGAGAACGAGCGAGGGTGGAGGTGGCAGGATGGGTCGACGATAAAATGAGAGAGAGCAGCAAGGTATCCGGGGTGGGAATCGTTCAGCCTACTGGGCAAGCCGCAAAAGGCAGAGAGGTGCGTTGACAGCAACCTTGCGCGCGATCCTCACGCTGTTGGCCATAACGGGGGGAAACTCGAGGGGGACCTGGGTGGACCAGGGCCCTTTGAGGGGCAGGCGCAAGGATTCTGGCTGGTCATGGCGACATTAGGCAATGGGCAAGCGGTGATGCTTGGCTAAGCCGGGGGGCGGTTGAGGCGGACAAGCGTCGATGCGACGAGCTTGATGAGAATCGCGCAGTTGGAACTCGGAAGAGTCGAAGACTGGCCGGGGGTTAAGGAGACGCAAGGATTCGAGGCCCGGGGGGAAATGAAAATGACATGGCCCCTCGACCTTGGATGAACTCGCCAATCAGACAGGGCCATCATCTCGGCAAAGCTTGACTTGTTCTTGGAAGGAGCCAATGAGAGATGTTGCGCATCCAAGCCGTTGCTGCCGTTTGGAGCCAAACGAAATGAGGGCACCGGTGCACGGTTCCCAACGGGGTCCCAAACTGCCCGGCCGGGGTCGACGAAGCACTCCAGGCTGCTTGATACGTACCTGTCTGTACCTGCATAAGTTTGCATTGTTTCCACACTCGACCAATGAAGTCATGCACAATCTGAATGTACCCACTACTCATACCTCAGACATCATCTCTGATTGGTTGCATGTATCCAAAGCTTCCATTGTACGTACCTTTTGCCCTTTTCCCTTTCGCTTGCATTTGCTGCCAGTTCCATCGCGTCCTGTCGTCGACTCGTCCAGATGGAAACTGGGAACCATCTCCAGAAAACAGGGGGAAAGAACAGACCGCACCGCTTCGTTGGTCGGCTAGGGAGCGTTGCCTATTTGGGCGATGAATGAGATGAGCTTTCTGGCGCCATTGACAATTCGAGCGCAGAGAGGTGCACTGGATTGACAAATTGGCGCTCAGCGACCACCAAAGCTGGTGAGAGACCGCCGCTCGCAATGTCACACGCGCTTCCTGTCATCCAATCTTAACCTTCAAGCTTAATTCCACGTGCTGTCACGGTAGTAAACAGGCTGCAGGCCATCGGTTGCAGTGCACTGTACCTACGGATACTTGTAGTTGCACTCGATCCAGACTCGACAGAATTTTCCTACCTCTTCCTGTCTTTAGCCGACTGACTGTCATTGACTGAGACAAATGCTGTGCCACAGCCACCTCCTTGAACTGGAACCCGCATTCTAGTGCAACGAAAGAATGGGCGAGAAAAGACCGCATGAATCACGTCGTGGGTAGGCAGCGGGCTAGTTCTAGTAGCCTACAGGGGAACACAATGTCTCGGGCGACTCTCAACGGTATCTTTCTGCCGCACTGGAACGCGGCAAAGCGCCTTCTTCAACACACAACGCCAGTAACGCCACACGACCCAGCGGTCTTGCCTTCTGCTTCTGGAAGAAAGTCTCCAGTTGTCGCGGTATCTGGCACAGATTCCACTGTGCCGAGGTCTCTCCGTAACTTACCTACTCCGTAGTCAAGGTAGGTACTTAAGATACCTTAGATAACCGGAGAGTGGGCCGTTCCTTCTCAACCCCTTCGCGCCCCTTTCGAGCCAAGACTTAGTAAGAGAAGTCTCTCAATCGCTGGTTGTCGCTCCGCGCAGGCTGGCAGGCTCGCACCACATACCGAAACGTGCTTGCCCTTTTTGAACCTCATCCTCCGCCATCTTCAAACCTCCACCCGGTCACCCCCAGACCAGGACGGACTTCTCTTCCCTTTGTGTATGCCATGTCGTCGACTTACTGAGCATTTACTACGTACTGCACAACTCCAGGCTCTCGAGGAAGAGGAGATGCCGACCCCTTGCCCATGTGGGCATTTTGCATGAGCCTCATGTCTTGAATCTTCCTCCACTTGCAATCCATGTGCTCCGTGCTTTGCCTCTATACGCAGCAGAGACTTTGATCTGGAAAGAGACCGAGCAACCCTTCGCCAAACGTCCCCATGCGTCCATCTCCATCTCGCCTGGGTGAACGAGCCAACGGCAGAGAACCTGTCAGGCCGTCTGTCAGTCGTCAGCAAAACCGCCGAACGCGATCTATCGACCAAGCCCGTGCGATAGATCTGGGGACGTCGTCTGTGGCCACTCCCTTCTCGGCTACTGGTGACGGAGTAAGGAAATTGCGCCTACCAAATTGTGCGAGATTGCACCAGAGCTGGTGTGCCCGGCGTCCATTCTGGACCAACTAGCTTTGTATTCGTACACTTGCGGCAGTCGCCGATACGCTCTGCAGTGTTAGTGTGAACCTCCATCGGCAGACATCATGGTAGTTGCCTCACTCGACCAGCTTCACAATGTTGAGCTGAAAGCTGTCCCTCCTCGGCCAGCAATTCTTGAGCTCCTCCATGGATGAGAATCTCGTATCCGAAGGGTGGCCCTCACCAGTTGCTGATCATTTGCAGTATTGGGTAGAAAGAACCTGCACTGTCGCTCTTCTAGCCATCAACCGAGAAATACGGCCTGTGGCCAGATCACGCCACGCCCGCTCTGTTACTCGCTTGGTTTGATGAGTAGGAACTTGAGCAGCCCTGTGCCCCGCGCTAAGTGCTACACAACAAGCTCATATCCTCAGTCTTACTTGAGCTCTTTAAGAGTCCTGTACTGGAGCAACTCTTGACGCATGTTTCGTTGTGTCGGCCCCCTCTAGCAGCGGCTCTCGTATGGCGAAATGGAGATCACTAACCGGCCGACATCGGGTAGCAGCTAAGCTTGGCTCAACAGAGCAACCTCAACCCCACTGAGAGTGCAGGCCTTCCTGTCTTGTTGTTGTCAGGACTCGGAATAACCGCGACCACTTCAAACCTCTTGCGACATTGTTGATGGTCTAGTATTGCTCAATGACTGTCGAGAGCCGCGTTTGTCATCAGTTGAATGGCAGCTTGGTTTCCGTGGTCGGCTCGTGGCAATTTAGTTAACCTCCCGTGAGTTAAAGTGGACTGGACGCACCAGCAGCTCATCAGCACTGATTTCGCAGTCAACGAGCTAGTCAGGGGCCAAAGAAACCATTGGGAACTTTGACGGAACCGGTCCAAGTTCTCAACCATTAAGTTCCGACCAAGGTTGAGATAAAGCCTGGCACTGCGTCTTCTGGTCGCGTGTTGCGGTATCGAGTAGTGGCTAGCATCTCAAATATCGCTTTATCATTTAGCTTGCTCTCTTCATATCGATGACGCCAGTCGGCATCCATAGCCGTATCAGTGACTTGAACTGCTTTTCCATGCGCAAAGATGGTAATCAGTCCTGCTTCATAGCGTTTACATTCAGCAGGCTGATGATATCTTTGAGAGCCACCTCTACAAAGTATCTTGCTTAGGTCCATACTGTTCCAGTTTCACCGACTGTTTCCTACGCCTTTGATTTCTCATCGTCTACCTCAAGCCTACTCTCCTGCACTTCGCTGATTGAGCCTCGGGGGTGCCGACCAACACCAAACACGCCCTGCTACTGTGATATGATGGATGGCTGTACGTTATAAACAACCGGATCCCAGACATAACCATCGATTTGATACCAGTTCTACTGGCAAATCGAGGTCGGTTGTCGTGCGCAGGAGAAGCTTTGCCGCCCCAGATCGGCACGTGGGGTATGCCGTTGTACACGCTACCTCCCGACTTACGGACGACTTGTTCGCTGTCGAGCGGGATCCCGTGGTAGGTCTCACCGGCGGGTACATTCTCGTTCTTGTCTCCGAGTATGATTTCGTGCTTGAGTAGGGGTCTCTGCGCAGTGGTCGAGAGAGAGGATGCCCCAGTGTCTGAGCCTTAGAGACCTGGGAAGACAGTGTGCGCCGGATCATCTGCTATTCGCCATAGTCTTTCGACACTGGAAAGTCATGTAGATTTCAGCTGTCGTAGAAGTAAATTGAAGCGCTCATGGAAGTTAGATAATGCAGACGACATCTCCCAAGACCAAAGCGGAAAGTATTCCTATACGTAGCATAGGGTACCAAAACTAAACCACACGTAACTGAAGGATCTCTCGAAGCTTTCAATGGGATTTCCCCGACATTAGCGTGAGCCGTCCAGCAACCCTTCTCAGCTCCTCTTCGTCTTTTCTTGTCATATACCGGAGGCAAACGTCTTGCCGTTGGCCATGCTGGCCTCGACTCATGGCTTACTTGAAGTCCCGAATATATTCAAGATATCTCCAACACGACCGATCCGAGCAATAAGCAGTGTAATCAAAGTCTGTCGGAGAAACTAACTTGCGGCAGTCCCTACCGACCTATCCATGCAGTGGAATTACCCATGTTATGCCTCTAGCACTGGGCTGGGTTGAAGACACGATTGTACGTACCTTCCATTCGAGAGTACATCGACATCATATGGTATCAGTCTCTTACCTATCACCCTCTTACCTATAGGAAGTTCCATGTCCTCATGATGAAATAAGCAAGCACCGGGCCGGATGGTCGGGGACTTCGGGCTGTAGATTCCTAAAGCCCGCTCGCATACTTCATCCATCTTATTTGCCAGGGGAAGTGCCAGAAAAATAAAAAGATTTCTTGGACAAGATTAAAGCAAGCAAGGAAGGAAAAAAGAGAGAACAGACTGATCGACGGTCGGACATGGACCCTGGAATAGAACTGGAGACTTCATGGTCTAACCGGGGCCGCCCGCTGCATCCTTAGGGCCATATAGTAGGCCATATCATGAGCTCGCTCAAGTCTAGAAGGCTGTCGCATTAGACAAGTCGAGAGAAGACAAGGAGAATTATGAAAAAATAGGCATGCGCCAATATTTGCGCCCATATCTGTATCAAGTGATCGGCCCATCTTGCCTCGTCTTCCTTTGGTATGCCGAGCACAGCTCCGAAGGTTTCAGTAAGCAACGAACCTGTCCTCCATATGTGCATCACCCGCAGTCCCCATACCGTCGGCACTTGTCAATGAGACGGGAGGTGGTCTTCCCGTCGCTTTTCCGAGCTATTCAGTGTCTTCCTGAGGCAATTTGCTCCTGGTAGTCGTTCCCAGCCTAGCGTGAAGGAGCGCAGGCGAAAGGATAGCTTCTCCAAGCAATCCCTGTGTGCTGTCTGGGATCAATACACATTATCCTCACAGACGGTAGGAAGTTGAGATGGACGCGTAGGTTGAGGTAAAGTGTTGCTCATGGAAGTCTGTCTTCGTCTTTGTCACATCCTGCTACCTCTATAGAGGACGACGTCACCTGTGGAAACATGAGTTCGAGTCTTTGATCATCACCTTTCGAAGAGTGTGAAAAATAATGCTACCGCGTTCCATGCTTGAATCCTCCGCTAATGAAACTCGGAGTCTTGTTGGAGCAACATGACAGGAAGTAATACAGTAGACTTGAGCAGGCTGATATTGAGTATGTAGAAAGATATGGTCGCGTCTATCAAGACCCCAAAAAATTCGGAAGAGTTTCCCTCGAATTTCTTTCACGGAGCTGGAGAGACACTGTCCACTACCTTGTCTTACTTCAACACGAACACTCCACATGTCTCACTGAAAGACGGAAAAGGCGGATTTATCACGGGTTCCCGAATACGGCAAGTTCAACAGTTGGAGATGGGTCAACCATTTGAGGGGTAACCTCCCTGCCTCCAAACGCACCCTGAGAGATCGGCCGCCCGCAACCTCATCTGATTGGCACGCGCATCAGATCTCGACTGCCCGCTCAGGCAAACAGAGGTTAAACATCCACAGACTACATCTTTGGGGATGAGATGACCCTTGAGATTGAACAAGCCCTTCCGGCTTTCATGCCGGCTCCTGAGAAGAAACGTGGAAACGTGGAGAAAGCCCATTGTCTTGGGTTGCGTGCGTCGGACGAATTGGAGTTGCGCGTGGTCGCTTTGATCTGCAGCTCACCCGCATGCGATGCCTGCGACACACGCGTCATAAACTCCAACCTCCTCAACCCCACGCTCGAGATCGGCGAGAATGCCGCTTCCATCGTTGCATCAACTCCCTTCGGTAGTCCATTTACCGAGCTTGATACCGCAAGCTTCCCCTCATCGTTTCCCCATGTAATTGAATTAGTTCCCGTGTTGCCCCCTCTTCCCCACGGGGTAACGGAAATCCTACTAAAAAGTAGCTTTATACCAGAGAGGTTCTGCCTTCCTGTACTACCTCATCTTGGTCCTTCTTGGGTTTAAGCTTCTCAAGGTCATCCCAACCTTTCACTCATCGTCTTCCCCCGCGCCATACCATCGACGACCTCCGGAAAATATAGATAAAAAACAGAAGCTGTCGCCGGCACCATGGAGACTAACAAGCCCAGCGTAGAACAGGATGAGAATACTGTGAAGGGCGAGACCGAGAGTGTAGTGAAGCCCACGGCCTCGAACCCGACCCCCGTGGAATGGGCTCAGCACTTCACGAGCCAGGATGAGGCCTGGCATAAGGCCATGGACAAGACTCTCCTACGTCGTGTAGACCGGCGCCTCATGCCGACCCTCGTAGTCATGGTGAGTCTCAAAACATGAACGCACAAACAAAACATTCTATCAAAAGCTTCGAATAGTCCTGACATGAAGTGAAACCACAGTACCTCCTTAACTTCCTCGACCGCTCCAACTTAGCCCAAGCCCGTCAGGGCACCCTCGAACGGGACCTGGGCATGACGGGAACCGACTTCAACCTCGCCACCTCGATCTTCTTCGTCGGTTACCTCCTGATGCAGCTCCCCTCCAACCTCTTGCTCACAAAAGTCAAACCCTCCTTCTACCTCGCCGCCTCCTGCTGCCTCTGGGGCGTTGTCTCGACCTGCAACGCCGCCGCCGACTCCTTCACGCACCTCATCGTCATCCGCTTCTTCCTCGGCTTCGTCGAGGCCCCCTTTTTCCCGGGCGCCGTCTTCCTCATGTCCTCGTGGTACACCCGCGCCGAGCTCACCCGCCGCATCGCCTACCTCTACGCCGGCAACGCCCTCGCCAACATGTTTGGCGGGCTCCTTGGCGCGGGCATCCTCGGCGGTCTGGAGGGGGATTTGGGGATCGCGGGGTGGAGGTGGTTATTCATCATTGTGAGTCATTCCTGTCTCTTGTGTGGGAACGATTCCAAAGTGTTCTAAAGAGAGAGTGACTGACATGGAGACACATCGACACAGGAAGGCGTAGCAGCCATCGCATTCTCCCTCGTCGCAATGTGGATCCTCCCAGACTACCCTCACACGACCAAGTGGCTCTCGGAGGAGGAGCGCGCTTACGCCGCCTGGCGCCTCATCGAGGACATCCAGGAGGCCGACACGTACGGCGAGCAGAGCGTCCTCGACGGCGTCAAGATGGCCGTGCGGGACTACCGCCTCTACATCTTTGTCCTGATGCAGCACGTCTCCCTCATCTCGCAGACGTTTCAGTACTTTTTCCCGACCATTGTCGGCACGCTGGGCTACGGCAAGATCACGACGCTTTGGCTGACTGCGCCTGCTTGGGTATGTTTGTATTCTTTCCTAGATGGGATCTCCGGTTACGTTCCAGACCGGGGCGCGGGGACGATATCCAAGCTCACAATCTCTTCTTCCACAGGCCGCGACGTTCCTCATCTCGCTCTGCGTCACCTGGTCCTCTGCAAAGACTAAAGACCGTTCTCTTCACATTGTATGCCTCACGCTCGTCTCCGCCACTGGAAACGCCATCGCCACCGGCTCGAGCAACCTCGGCGCGCGATACTTTGCCATGTTCCTCATGCCCATGGGCGCCATCTCCGCATGTAAGTCTTCTGATACAGTCTCCCCAGCAACGAAAGAACAGCGTCTGACAATGGTGTAACTCCTGCAGATCAAATCATCGTCTCTTGGGTAGCAAACTCCTTCCCACGACCACTCGTCAAGCGCTCAGCCTGCATCGCCATCGCCAACATGATTGGCAACACGGCAACAATCTATGGATCTTACAGTGCGTTGATAGTTCTCACAGCCTTTCTTTCCCATCACGCTACAAGCGGTACTTGATTAGACTGACTAACCAACCCAAGTGTACCCAAGCAGCACGGGACCCCAATACGTCCCTGGCGGCAGCGCCAACACGGCAATCTGCGTCCTCGTTGCCATTCTCGCCCTCGTCCTCCGCTACCTGCACAAGTGGGAGAACAAGAAGCTCGAAAAGGCCGAGCTCGACGACGCCGCGGCGCTGGCCGAGGGAGGCGGCGAGAAGGCCGCGCCCGTCGATCTGAAGCAGGAGAGGAGGGCTGCTGGATTCAGGTACATCTACTGAAGTATCAGATGGGCTGATGATGAATGGGTCTTTTGTTACGCTTTTTGTCTGTTCTGTGTGGCGAGAGATGCAGCTTCTCTGTGTTTTTGTGCTGGGCCGAGTTTGAGAGATGGACCCCTCAATTATGGTGATGGCTTGGTGGACGGGAGTTCCCCGCTGTGGAAGGCCTTGACGAGTTAAGATACCTTATAGCTTCGAGTTGAGAATGAATGATGTCAGAGACCCCGTCAAAAGGTCAGCAACAAGCTTCTCCTGTGCCTTGGAACGATCATTGAACACCCTTTGTGCCAAGTGTCTATCGGAAGTGATGTTTCTAGTTGAACTCAGTCCTGGTACGAGGACGATTCTTGTCAAGCAGTCTCTACCAAAATGAATCAAGCCTATTGAGACTTTCTGGGCTCCAGAACGCAGATAACGGCACGAGTACTTACCCGATGAAGTAGTGCTCATTCAATGATAGGTCAGTTTCGCATTGCAGAGGCGTTGAGTGCTGCGTTCCATCGAAATCGGAGATACGCCGCTCTTGAGAGGCGTTAACATTATTGTAGAGGAGCCATTAATAGGTCAAGATGATTGAATTGTATGCAGAGACAAAGTTACTCGATATAGGGTATAGCTCACACAGACACCAATGTCGAAAATTGGCAAATACGTCCTAAAGTGAAATCAAGTACAAACTGTCTCGTTTATATACAACCCCAACATGGTCCTTGCAAACGATATCCGCACTTTCACGTCGAGTTTCAGATGTACTCTGCCTCTAGCGAAGACGATGATGAGATCTAAGTACTCTTGTGGATCAGTCTCTCCAGAATAGTTTCCCGTTCTCTCGGAATAAGGCGGTCTCCACCAAACCTTCACCCATGGCTCCGACTCTACGAATCTGATGAACACGGTCAGACTTGCGTGTGCCACCCCAGTCACCTATAGTGTCAAGCTGAAGTAACTCCAAGCGGCAGCCTTGTCCACATATTGTCTCCCAGACCGACTTGGCAACCTCCGCGGGTGTCACCCCCGCCGCATCTGCCTCTATCGTCATTTCGAGTTTTCTCTGATACGCACGAGCTCTTCGTCTGCACCCGCCATCTCCAGCCCGCACTTTAAGTTCAGAATGTCGAAGTGTCAGGTAGAGATTTCGGAGGCTCCGCATCCGCCCAAGACACTCACTTGCCTCTATCATCTCTGGTGAGCTCGTTTGGAACGTAGGTACAGTGATCGTGACCGTCAGATCCTGCACCCACATGCATGTCTTAGATAGCACGCATAAGTCCTGCGGCGCGATTCTGGGATACTCCTGCATGGAATGAGAGCCGTAGGAGGGTCGAATGCTTAGTTTGCGCAGGCATCCTCCAAATTTGGACAACGCAAACTGGACGGCTGGTGAAGGTACTCTGCCCTCGAGCGAGAGGGATGTTAAGGCTGGCATGATGGCTAGGAACTCAACAGCGACGTCTCCACGGTTCGCGACCCCCTCCCAAGCAGGTCGGGGGTCAACGACAACTTCATTGTAGTTTAACTCTAGACTTTCAAGTTTGTGGAATCTGGCATGCGTTGTAAGCCATGGTAACTCTCCAGGACTTGCGGTCAATCTCAGATGACGCAGTGCCGCGAAGTCCGTTGCCCTGAACCACGCCATGAGCCTATCGGGATTGGTTTTCTGTAGTGTCAGAGAACGCAGTGAACCGAGCTCTGGTGACTTCGAAATCCTTGACAGATCCTTTCCAGGTATGAGACTGTGGTTGAGTATTTGCGCGATCAACGCTTGCAACTCATTCTCGAAATCTGCGTCGTATTTTCGCTTATGTCTGCCTCCGAAGAATGGTTCCAGCTTTACTGTCTTGAGATTCGGTGATAGGCCTCCGATGAGACGTAGCATGACCGATTCGTTTGTATGTGCAATGGACGTCTGGTAATACTCTTTTATAGAGATGCTATGCAATTGGGGTGCAAGTAGAAGTGCAACATCATGCGCATTGATCGCAGCGCCTTCGCTGCAGTGAAGATCGAAACCATTGAGTTCTAGCCGACAACTTGGGTGATGCGTGCGGATGGTTTCGAGGAGAAGAGGCGAAAAGCTGCTCTCATGTTCAATGACCATGTTGGTCAGTCCGGGCAGGGCTTCGAGCAGTCTGATCATGGGAGTCCAGGCTTCGGGATCGACAAAGGCATCGCGGAGGCGTCGGTTCTCGGGCGACCTATGCTTGAAATCGAACGAGGTTTCCTTTGGAACCGGTAGTATCATGTGTCGATCAGGCGAGTAGAGATCACTGTGAGGGAGCGACTTGTCCAGGAAGGTCATCTTCAGGCGCCTGACATGCCTGGCGGAGTTTGTGCGTCCCAGAATTGCGAGCCAGGAATCGACATCGCGCTGTAGTCTCCGAGGATGCTTGACGAGGATGTGGATGTCGCGGAACAAGAAGCAAGCGGCGGCGGTATGAAAGGCTTTGTTGGTGAGGGAAAAGGAGGACAAATCCGGTCCGGCAATGCCGTCGAGATGCCCCGCGATGCTGATGAGAGTCTCAGCCGGAAGTATGTCTAGTATTCTCGCGGCCATTGTCGCTTCAGTCGCTCGGTAGATATCGCAGTCGAAACAGAAGCACTCGGCGAGGATGAAGAAGGATAATCAGAGACATCGCGGGTGGGCTTGCGTCAACAGAAGACAGAAACGTGTTGGATGAGGCAAAAAGCACCTCTCGGGCGAGGTTGGCTCACTTGCATTGTTTGCTAGAGAAGAGTGGGTTTGGAGTCCTGATAGGGAAAGGGAAGGATTGGTTGGTGCAAGAACGCACACCAAGCCCGTCACCAACCAACGACAATCAGGAAGTCGGAAGCCGTGGGCCGGCTTCCAACCGACGCGGGAACGGAAAAGACGCCGGGCTGGGAAGGTGTTGGCCGAGATAGTTGGGTTAAACCGTCAAAGTAGGTGAGCTCTGCTTTTACAGCGGCCAACTGCAGCTTGGCTGCTCAAAGTACTAATGATAGACGTGATTACCTCGGAAGAGACGACCTGGGAGAGGTTCCTAGGACCACGCATGCAACGTCCCCGTAATCATGGTGACTCGAGAGAGAACCATCAAAATCCAAGTCCGAGAAGCCAAGCAGAGCCTCAATTAGGTTGGTGACGAAGGGGGAATAAATCATCTGTCAGAAAGGGGGGTAGCTGACAGTTCAGCGTTGGTTTGCCGGTTTGAGACACATCTCAATTAATAATGTCTCTGCTTAAGCGAAGCGGCACAGCTGTCTTGCGGCTTGCTTGGGTCACTCACAGCTCCCCGTCGGCATTTCCCATCGTAAATCCGGCGCCTCTCCATCCCCATGCGATAACGTAGTGGTCAGCCAACAGCTTCCACTCCTCCACTTCGTCGAGGCCCTCTAAACGGTCCACTCTCTCCTTTTCCTCACTTGGCACCCAGCTTTCCCAAATCCGTTCCACGGTCAGCGCCTTGGCGTGTTCGAAGCCTGCATCGCGGAGACGCTGCGTCTGATCCTGCGGCAGCTTGTAATTCTCCAGAGTAGGCATGCGTATTCTCCTTGCTGCGAGGTTGGAGGTCATCATTTTGCCGAAAGGGTCGTCAGGCCGGATTGGTTCGTACACCACAATGGCGATATTCGGAATCTTTTGCTCAAACAAAGATACAACTTGCTTCGTTATAGATGTCTCTAGGTAGCAGAGGCAGCATTCTGAGATGAGTAGAGTAGGAATGTCTGTTCTGATACCCGCAAGAGGTGTTGCGCCGTCTTGCACCATTTCTCGGAGATCCCGTGCATGAAAATAGTATTTGTCTGACGCGGATGGCTGACAGCTCCATGAACCGTCTTCCTCGACCGAGGGGACTCCGAGGATGTTTCGCAATGGAGGGGCTGCTTGCACTATACGTGCCTTCTTGCGAACTGTGACTGAGAAGTCTATCTCATGGTAGACCAGCTGAGGCCTTTTTGCCCTGGGAAAGAGACGGAATGGGCGTGTGTCGGTGCCAGCGCCTAGTGAAATAATTTGTCTCTCATTTGAACCGGGTTGCGCACTGTCAGACTCGTCCAAGAAGCTGTCAATGAGATTATCGAGAGCAACGGTCCTCGTATAAGTGCCTGAGATAGCGGTCAACCTCCATATTCGACGGAAGCAGACCAGAGACACGGACCTCGATTGATGATGGGGAGTCTCCTTGGAGGGGGTCCATTGATGTTATCCACAAAGAAGTGTGCGTATGGGTCGGCGAGATATCCCACATTGACAGAACTCAAACGTGAGCCGGCAGCGTCATCGTCAGTTCCTTGAATCGTCTGATCGTGAGTCGGGCCCGAGAATGAGGGGCCGCCGCCGGGACCTCTTCCGCGCCCGCGACCAACCCGGCCACCTCTCGCTCCGCGGAGTGAGAGCAGGTTCGGTATTGGATTTCCAGACATGAGGTATGTTGTTGCGGGGGAGCGGCCGTGAGGTGGAAGATGTTCCGGGAGCAGCGTTAGTGAGTGTAGGTGCGGGTGACGTAGGAGGGAAACTGTTAGGTGGGGCATCGTAGTGCAACGCTGCGTGTCAATCAGTGGAATAGGGTATGGCCCGTGCCTAGACGCTTCTAACGGTTCGGAGCCGACTCCGTTGTCCACTAAGGGCCGGTGCCTGGCACTCCCCGCAACGTCGTCTTCCATCTTTTGCTAAGAGTTAACGATATATCCGCAATAGTCTTCGAAACTTAGAGTAAGTTTTGAAGTTCCTGTAGACTTGGTTGTCGGTTTGACTGACTTCTTAGTCATCAAGCTTGACCAGGTACCTATGTTCCGAGCATTAGATCGCCGAAACCACTACTCACTCATACCAGACACCCAAGCCCTTTTCAGCACTCACCTCTCGTACGAGCATTCGGATCTGAAAACCCAAGACTTGTCGAATATTTAAAATCTATCAGAGCGCTGCTTACGAATGCCGAGGATCAGAAAGATGCAGAAGCTACCTAACACCTTTGGCGTTGAAGTGGAATGAATCACCCAGGATTGACTATTACCTGGACCGGATCCATTCATTTCTCTCTTTCCAGCCCACACGAAAAGCGTTCTACCTGGTACCATGATTAGGAAGAATATGTCGAGAGCCAAAAGCATGATGGCATCCGATGAGTTGACAGGACCGACCACTGGTAGATCAGGATTACAAAGTCTGACACTGACTGCTCAATGACATCACATTCCGAGTCACCGAAACATACACTTTGCCAACGAAATCAAGACATGGCAGCGAGAAGAACATCTACACAGCAATGGTACTAACACAACTGCTTGCAGATCTGTCGAGCCAATTTGAGAGGAGTCTACATGCAGACACGAATGCCAGAACCTCAAAGCTCGGTTTTAATGAGTTATACTCGAATCATAATGTAGTCTTCTCGGAACGTGGTGACCAAAAGGTACAATCAATACCGAGCGTGCATGGCTCAACATTTTACCAATGAGTTGTAAGGTAGACATCGTCAACAAAAACACTTCTAAGGGGGCCAGTGTCTGAAAGGACCCCAAACTAAATGTCCGAATCCTTTCGGATATGTCGGGGTTGGGCACCTAATGGCCGAATAGGCTTCAAGAACACGCGCCGCTCGTTATTCGATGGTCTGCAAACTTTCTTGGAGGGATCGTCCGATGTCACGGATGGCATAGAGACTTTTTCGAAACCGACGAACAGAGTCCGATGCCAATCATGCAAAGATAGGATGCTACAAATTGAGAAAGGAAAGGCCAAATAACAGGTTTCAAGCAGGCGGCCTCCTCTCCCCCAAAAGACCAAATGGCGAACAGAGCCGTCAAGGAATAAGGCGACGCAAGCGTCGAATATCCCAAAGTCAACAGCCTCGTAAAAAGGTCAACCTTGGCCGGGCGCCAAAACGTTGCCCTGATCTCGACGAACAAAATGGAAGAAGCAAGTGGAAAAGCGCGAGCCGGCGTGAAGTTGTAGACATTGCAGGTAAGCAGGCATGCAAGCTGGCGGCACAGAAACCTAGTTCCAGCAGCCCAACAGCCCTGCCCAGCGGTACCGCTCAAAGCCAGGATGGTCATGGAATGACAACTTAATTACTTTCATAATCTTGGCTTCGATCCGGAGAATCGCTTCAATGGTCTTCGCTCTTCGTCACTCGTCGCTTATTCCTCGCTTGTCCGAGAATCAGAGACCGTATGGCGCGGCGCATCGCCATTACTCCGTTCCACGATACCGCCCATTCCGTTGGCTGCTGGGAGGCGAAATGTCCGATGTGGAAGGATTTAGTGGGGCACGGAGAGTGGCTGTGTCAGCCTGCTGCCTGGTGGAAAGCTGCCGCTATCCACTAATAGGTCGTGCATCCACGCCTCCCCAAGATCCTGGGTGGCGTACTTCCCTAGGTACTGGTAAGGTAGTAATTCCTCTGCAAGGTACTTTCCTCCCCAGTGCGTCTCACGCGTCACAACAAAGTACCTCGCCCGGTAGATTGAGGTGAGGTGACCCCCCGGCGCAGGAGCTGCGCAGTGACCAGTGACATGTTCAAGTGAATCGCCGCCTAGAGCTCGTTTCCCTTTTGACGTCTGACACCCCTCCATTTCCCAACGATTCATTCTTTCCCTTCATTTTAAAAGAACCTTCAAACTCCAACATTCGTACTTTTCCCAGCATCATCATCATTGCTGTCTTGATTCTGGGAGCCGAGCAAATCGCAAACATGTACACGCGGCTGCAGCACTTTGCCGACGCCGTCTACAAGAGGGCCGTCGAAGAGACTCCTCGCGAACCCCAGCTTCCCGGCTGGTCCTTTTGGGTCTTCCTCGCCGACTTCATCGTCTTCCTCCCCATCATTCTCTGGGTAAGCCTTGTCTCCCGCCTCCCTTCCGAGGCCACTTTCAGTCTGGCTCTTCATATGATGAACCCTTTATCGCTAACACATGCACTGTCTAGACATCCTACACCCTCCACCAGGTCTACCCCATCTTCGCCATCGTCGAGGACGAGAACCCGCCCGCCTACGACCCCGTCAACCTCGCCGAAGATGAAGGCGCCATCCCCTCCGCCGGCCCCGAGGTCCGCCCCGACGGCCCCGTCCCCCAGACTAAGGTGACCGGAGGCCGCCCCACCACCGTCACCTCTTCCATCCGCTCCATCAACCGCCTCCTGACCACCTACGGCGGCTGGCGCTCAAACTTCCGCGGCTTCGGCGTCTACTTTGTCCAGGCCCTCGCGACCAACTTCCTCTTTGGCATCTTCTCCTCCTTCCTCCCAGACATCCTCGCCTCCCTCGCGACCCTCCTCTCCGCCCTCGCCCTCGTCCAGCTCTCCGCCGTCTGGGTCCACATCGTCATCACCCCCTCGAGCTCCGACTACTTCTGGAAGCGTCTCCCGCCCTTCAAGCGTACCTTTGACGCCACCGCGAAGCCCGTCGCCGCCTACTGGCTCGCAGAGCAGGTCGCCACCTGGGTCCCCATCGCCGTCGGCTGGGCCCTCGGCCTCGACCTCCCCAACTTCCAGTTCGGCAAGCCCAACTCGGTCGTCTCCCAGCCCCAGAGCTCCGACGCCTGGAAGAGCATCGTCATCACCCTCATCAGCATCGCCTTCCAGATCATCATCGTCATCCCCGCCCACGTAGTCCTCGTCCGCGTTCAGGCCTCCCTCATCCCCGAGGAGGCAAACACCATCATCCCCTTTGACCGCTCCTTCGAGGGCAAGGTCGAGCCCCGCGTCGTCGGCGGCAAGGGCTACGCTACCATGGACGACGCCTGGAGCGGCTTCTCCCGCAACGCCTGGAAGCGCCTCGTCATCCTCTACGTCAAGATCTTTGCCGTCTCCTTTGCCGCTTTCGCGCTCATGGCCGCCGTTGTCATTCCCGAGATTATCGTCTTCAGCAAGCTCGCTAAATAAACATTTGGCTAGCATATGAAATCTACAGGCGCCATATCTCTCTCAAACTCTTCGGCAATTGCACTTATGTAATCGGTTACCCCCTTAAGGCTCGCAAGGATGCGTTGATGGGAAGAAAGCGGATAAAGCTTGATAGGCTGTAGTTGTATTTGCGCATCACCATGCACTAAATCGTCTCTTAGCTAGCTGGATAGTCTCTGCTTTGTGTCTTGTGATCACAACTCCATACCCCAAATAAAACAGATTGAAAGATTGAGATCACTGCATCACCATAATCATCATCAGAACGTGAGCAGCTAAAGTCTTTCTTTCTAGTGTCATTAAACCGTCAAATGTCTTGGGTTTCATAAGTAGTGAGGTCCTTTCGTGAACAATACCAACTCCCCAGACAATGCAGCAGCGGCGGCGAAAAGGCAAAAAATGTTTTGCCTGGTCAGCCATTCTTCTCATCCATCCTGTATGTTCTCGTGGTGTCGGTTGTCCGCCCTCACACGCACAAAAGGGATCTCATCATTTCCCTTCGACCCTCCCCCTCCCACGGCCACCAAAATCCTCCTTTCTTGACCGAAAATGACAAAAGACCGCCCAGAAACTTGCTTGTCAAGCCAGAATCCAACAGCAATGCAGACCCGCCCAAACAAAAGAAAAGGAGGAAGAAGAAAATTCAACATCAAAAGAGAGAGGGAAGCCTCTTCTTTCCCAGTTCCGTAATTTGTGCTCGAGCTTGCATGTGAATCTTTTGCGAATTTCGTCGTCTTCTTCTTTTCCAGTATACTGACCAAGAAAATCCAAGGTGAAGAAAGGCCTCTGTGAAGAGCAAGGGAGTCTTGCCGCCGCCAGGATCAACACAGCGGGGGTATAGTGGTCTAGTCCGCACCAAGCTGTAATCTAACTTGTACGTTGTCGTGTGTCTATTCGAAGGGTGAGGGCGTACCTCCCTGTACGGTCTCTCGACGTCAGGGTGCCCCAAGAATCAAGGGTATAACAGGGCATGCGGTATGCAACTTAAGACTTCTGAGAGAAGAACCAACTGCTTCGCTTGCCGGCACTGCCCTCGTTCTGCTGGATGCTGTTGATGACAGGGATGGAAGGTCCCTGGTTATCAGCACCACCGCCACGGAGGGGTTTGGCGATGCGGCTGCCAGCACCAGAGAAGCTGAAGCCGCCCAGCGAGGGAGAGTTCAGGCCGCGAGTGCTGCCAGCCTTGGCTGCCTCTAGCCTCTCCTTGACAGCAGCAAGCTGAACCTCAAACCTATAGGGTACGAATCGTTAGCACTGGTACGGCGCAAAGCAGAAATGGACAACAGAGATTGAGAGATTGAAGGGTAGACAGAAACATGGATCGCAAGGGGGTCGTACTTGTGGTTCGCAGAAGCCATCTTCTCCTGGCTATCCTGTAGCAGGCTCTCCAAGCTCTGGATGCGCTCGTTACGAGCAATGAGTTTACGCTCAGCAATGGCCACCTCCTTCTTCAGTGCCGAGTTCTGCTCGACGAGCTGGCGCTGAACCTGAGTAAGCTGCTCAAGGTTCCTCTCCAGGAAGGCCATCTTTTTCTGTTGGGCCCGGTTGTTGGATGAGCGGAGCACGTTGTTATACTGCTCTCTTGTCTCGTCAAGCGAGATTTCGAGCTCAACCACACGTTCGCAACGGTTCTGAAGATCGCGCATAAGGCTCTTCTTCATAATGTCGAACTCGGCAATCTGTTGCTGAATCGACTTGCCGTTCGCCATGGGCGCGGCGGTACCAGCCTTGACTCTCTGTTGAAGATCCTCGATAAGAGTCTTCATCTTGGAGTTCTCGGCAGCCTTCTGGGCAATCTCGGCCTTGAGCTCATCAACAAGCTCCATGGACGTGGTCTGCTTGTTGGAGTAGGCACTCTCCAGGCGAGCCTTGATCTCCTCGACATCGTTCTCCCCAAGGTTGCGGGTCAAGAGCTCCTCGTACTCCTGCTGAAGAGCCGAGAGGCGGTCTTCGAGCTCGGCTCTGCGACGGGCATCTGCTTCGCTCGAGGAAGCACTGTAGACAGACAGCTCAGCTTGTCTAACGATTCCTTGGATCTCGACGAAGCGTGACTTCAGAGCCTGAAGCTCATCTGGGTTGACAACCTCGCCAGTGGAGCTGACCTCGTGAAGGGCCTCCAGTTGGGAAATAGCCTCCGAGATGGCCTTCTCGTTGTCGCTGAACACATCGGCCCCGAGGTCGAAGCCAGCCATCATCTTGGCCATCTTCTCAGCCTTCTTCTTCTCCTTCTCATCGAGGACGGCACTTGTTTCCTTGGCGCTCATCTTCACGTCCAGAAGCTGCTGCTTGACCTCGTCCAGCTCCGCAGTCAGCTCGGCGTTTTGCTCCTTGAGCGCATCCATGGTGATCTGCGCCTCCTTGCCCTCAAAGGTAAGTCGCTCAATCTGCATCTTGACCTCGTTCACCTCCCCGTTCAGCTTCTCATTTTCCTTCCCAGTCTTCGCATCGTGCTCCTTGAGGTAGGCAAGCTCCTCCTTGGTCTCCCGAAGAGTCTTTTCTGCTGCGTTGTACTGAGACTCCTTCTCGGCAATCTGGTCCTGGAGCTCGTTCTCCCGGCGCAGGAACTCGTCGCGCTCATCCTTGTCGAGTGGTAAGCTTGGTGTTCCTGACCGCTCGGAGATGGCTGGGGTCTCGGATCTGCTGTCGGGTAGGAGGCGGGATGGTGTTGAAGGACGAGGCGCCTTTGCTTCGGCTTTAGTCCCAGCTACGCCATCTGCGGACAAGGGGGCCACCCATCTGTCCTTAGGAACGGCCTCTCCGGCACGCCAGAGCTGAACTTCGCCTTCCAAATTTGAGAGATACGTTTCGAAAGTCGAAATTTGGCCTCTGGCCTTGCCGAGCAGTGCCTTGAGTTCGGAGGGACTGAGCTCGGCGTTGATCTTGGCCTTGTTCTTGATTGCCTTTGCACGAGTACCGAATCGGAGGGTGCCAAGGGTTTCAGCGTCGTTGTAACTACTGGGAGAGCAATTAATGATGAGTGTTGTCCGACTGTTACCTCCAAGAGATTCTTGGAGGATACGGGTCAACTTGGAATCGCGGTAGGGGACGTGGGATGATCTGCCGTCGGTCAAGGCGTTGATGACCATTCCGAGAGCACTCAAACTCTTGTTGATCTTCTTTGCTTCCTCCAGCGTCTGACCACTGGCGCCGGTCTTTCCAACCTTTTCGCTACCGGCCAAATCGACCAGGAAAAGCTGACCACTCTTTGCCGATCCGGTCTCGACATTCTTTTGGGTAATGGTGACGACGAAGATGGAATGCGAGCGGGAAGATTCCTGGTTCATGTTGGTTGCAGAAACGGCTCGGGCGTTTCCACCTCTTCTCATAACCTCGTAGACTTCCTGGACGCTGGAGACATAGACCTCGAGAAGGCCCTTGACGTAGACACCGCGATTCTTTTCTTCGTGGACGGGAAGGTTGTCGTTTTGAGGCGCAAGCAAATCGCGAATCCTCTCCATGTAGATTTCCATATAACTGACTCGAACCGTGTACTCGATAGTGCTGGGACTAGACATGATACTGGCGAAGATTTGTTCGACGATACGGGGGATAATACCTCGCCCCTCCTCGTCGTCGATGCTGGAACCCATCATGGTGTAGGACTTTCCGGCACCCGTCTGACCATAGGCAAAGACGGTTCCGTTGTAACCATTGAGAATATCATCGACGGTCGATCGGATGGAAAAGTCGAAAATATCGGACTGCTTACACTCCATGTCGAAGACACGGTCGAAGGTGAAGGAGCCTTGGGCCTCCTTGGACTATAGAATTATATTTGTCAACTGAGTGCCCGCACGCGCGATATCAAGCACCGAATAGAGAGGCACTTACGTCCAGAGTACATGTTTCCTCACTGCTGAAGGAGACAATGGGCTGGCCGCCCGACGCCAGTTCCACTTTGTTCTGTGGACGGAATCGGGCGACAACCTTGATACTGTTGTTTGCGCCAGACATGGTGATGGGTTTTCAGACCAAGCGAGGTCGAAGCCGGGGTCGTGAGGTTGCGATCGGGACAAGATGCTGCGAGATAGGGGGTTTTGTGGTTGCGAGGCACTCGGCGGCCGCAGCTCGACAACGGGGGGTTGTGTTGAAAGGACACACACAAACAAGGCGGGTGGGATGAAATGACGGTGTGCGGATGTGGAAAGGCTGCTAGAATGACATATCGCAGGTGTTGCAGGGCGATGATGCAAGGAGAACGGAACAGCGACAGCACAAACCAGCAGCAGTAGCAGCCAGAAAGGCAGTCGGTCAGAAAGCGAGAGAGGAGGGAGATGTGGGTTGTATTGTTTGGGAAACGGGTTTTGGGGGGGCTCTTGGGGGGTTGAGATGCAAATGACGGGACGCGCTAGAAATCGCGTAGAATTATTTGATGGCAGCAAGACAAAGCACAGAATGCAGGTGCAGAGGGGGGGAAGTAAGGTCCACGGGTACCTTCCCACAGTTCCTTCAGTTCCCATGGAAAGTCACAAGTCACTGCTAAGGTGAGGTAAGGTAGGTAGTCAGGCCCAAAAACAAACCAATCCCATCCTGCCATGGTCATTTCACGCTGGTCGTTTCATCCCCACCTCGTCGTCTTTCCCAAAGCACAGCCGAGGGGTCCCCATCCCAGATGGGTAAAGTCCCCTGTTCTACTGCTGGAATGGACGGATACAGCAGAACGCATCGCCCATGCAGTGCCCAACGGGACTGGTTGCACTTGCACACTGACCATGACGGGCAGGCATGTTGGTACTACAGATGGCCCGGCGCATTGCACACTAATTAGAGGAACGTCCGGCCGAGCACGCGACAGAGATTTGCTGACGAGAGTTTGCACTTTGCACGGTTGACCAAGTGGACTGAGAGTTGGAGATTGGCCTTTTGGGCGAGTCTTGTTATGGTGGACTGCTCCGCTTTCGCCTGTGAATTCATAATAAACAACTACGGGCCGCATGTTGTTCAACAGATTTGGTATTTCGCTACTCATGAGGTCCCAAATGCACTTCCCACGAACTCCCCTGTAAAGCCAGATGAAGACGAACCTAACGTCACCGACGACGGGTGACTCAACGGATAGGAAAAGCAAAGCACGTCCACGAAACGCCTATCGCAACATGGGGTCGCCCCAAAAGCCACTTAGAGAGGACAGCACGAGCCGAAACGCCAAATCCCCCCACTCCCACCTCATCGGGTACCCCAGTTGCTTAATGCGAAGAAGATCAAGACATCTGTCTGGTCAGCCCTGGGTGTAGCTTATGTCAATCTGCCCCTCGTTCGGCCCTCTAGCATCCCCTCACAGCCCAGCAGCTTATTCCTACACGAGCCATACCCTGCTGAAGTAAGGCGCGGACATTCTTGTTCATAACTGTCGTGTGTATGTGTCGTGATAATCATGTCGATTTAATCGTCCCAGCTCTTCTCGACAGTCTCACGAACCCGCTTCGTGTACTCCTTCCTGTTGTCCTTGTAGAGGTTCGACGCTTCAACGTTCGCCGGGGAGCCCGTGTTTGGGTCGTTAAGCAAACTAATGATCCGAGTTAGCCAAACATTAGCTCCGGAGCTTGTAGAGTGGCACCCGAGATCTCTCGAGCAGGACATCTCTCACCTCTGAATGCTCGTCAACACAGCCGCGACATCATACGTGGGACTCCAGCGGTTCTGCAGGATATCCAAGCAAAGCTCTCCAGTAGCGTAGACGTTCGGGTGGAACATCTGGCTGATGAACTTGACCGCAGGTGGCTTGTTGGGGTACTGCTCCTCGAACTGCATAACGAGTCTGAAGGTACCGTCTTCGAATGGAGTATCGGCGGGACCAATAATCACGGCGTTCCTAAAGCATGCCTTGTCAGTCGCCGTTGGCACATTCGGGAAACTCGGGGTTTGGTCGAGCATACCAGGTCATGACGTTGTCGGGGACGGGCGAGGCAGAAACGCCAGCGGGAGGATCAGTCTGCATACGCTACTCGATGCGTTAGGATCAAACAAAAGATAATGGCATTCTGAGCATCGTAGCTTACTTTGAAGTCGCGCATCAAGCGACGGCGGGCGGCGGTAGACATGGTGGCGGTCGGTGACTGATTACCAAGACTGAGGGGTCAGAGGATCGCAACTGCCGTCGAGGAGGGACGGACGAGAACCGGGCGGTCGGTTCAAAGCGTGGGGAATCGGCGTATATGTCCTCGCTGGGTATCGAGAATGCTGAAAATTCTGGAAATCTCCGTCACTTACGATGTGTGATGGAGAAAGTTGTAGAATGGTCGTATGGATCACGGGCGAGAGTCCAAAAGAATGGCGCGGGAAGCACTCGCCTTCACCACCGCCTTCCGCTTGGGCCAGTGAGTGGGTCTTACATTTTGGTCCAATCATATTGGGCGATTTTAAGCGCGAATCACCCGATAACAGAATGACACTCAAGAGCCTCCAATAAGATAGGTACCAAACGCCTGCGGAAGTGACGACTCAAACCTCCCGTCTCTCCATGACACCGTCTGGGCCGCAAACTGGACTATTCAACTGGATGCTTCTGACAGACACTTGAATGGGTTGGATTCATGCATATCGCTTGCTATTTTGTCATTTCGGCGAGCGTCGCACCTAACTTACCTTAAGAGGCAGCATATAGAAAGATACTCGAATACATCAACTCGCATACTGGCGGGGTGTAGCTTTTCTTCCGCTTGCGCAGACTAAGACCTTGTTTGAAGGTGGGCTTGTTCAATATTTATGGTTGCGCTGCAGGACTGCCATAACGGTGATCATCCGTATGCCGCGAAATTCCGGGGGAAAATGACATCCAAAATGCAGGCAAAGAGTGGCATCGGTGCAGCAGCAGCCGGAACCGGTTCCACCCCTTTGGCCCGACGAGCTTTCCGAGCGGAATTGGCCCTACTTCCACGGTCCGGGGTGGGGGATCGGTTCCCCCAAGGACCTGGGGGAAACTTGGGAAGTGACCTCACTCCTCACTTAGAAGCTCGGCCCCGCCCTTGTACCTCTCAGGCACCCCCCTCTTAAGCCGAGGAAGACCGCAGAACCTGGGGTATTGTCATCCCGCGCCTTCCACATGCTCGCTTCATCCCTCTCGAAGTAAACTGTCAAGCCACCTTCCTATCTTTTTCTTCTTGCTCCCTTTTCCCTCTGCAAGATCGTCTCAAGTCGCCATCACTTTGTGCTATTTTGCTGCGAAATATCGGATACCATTTGTAACATATTCCACCATGTTTATCAGACAATCATCGAGGCTTCCTAGCCAATTGGCTAGGCAAGCAGCTTCCCGTCAGTTCTCCACGCGAGCTGCGCTTCGGCAAGAGATTCGGGACGCATACATTATTAGTGCCTCGAGAACACCGACAGCAAAGGCAAAAACAAACGGTTCAGTAAGCTTCTGCAAAGCTTTCATAACTAACACGGCCGACAGTTCAATGGCTCATTCACGAGTGTAACTGCGCCGCAGCTGGGCGCCGTCGCCATCAAGTCCGCAATCGAAAAGTCCAAAGTCCCCGTCGACAAGATCACCGACGTGTACATGGGTAATGTCCTACAAGGATCCGTTGGGCAGGCGCCGGCTCGCCAGGCTCTGATCTTTGCCGGTCTCCCGTCTAGTGTGGAAGCGATCACCATCAACAAGGTCTGCGCATCCGGCATGAAAGCCGTTGTTTTTGCCGCACAAAACATCCAGCTCGGTCTGTCGGAGGCGCAGGTTGCTGGTGGCATGGAGAACATGACGAGGGTGCCTTATTATGTGCCCCGCGCTTCTAGCCTGCCGCCATTCGGGCATGTCCAGATGGAGGACGGCCTGATCAAGGACGGGTTGACTGACGTCTACGACAAATTCCACATGGGCAACTGCGCCGAGAACACGGCTAAGAAGTACGATATTTCTCGCGAGATGCAAGACGAGTACGCTATCGAGTCCTACAAGCGCGCTCAGGCTGCGTGGAAAGCCAACGCCTTTGCCGAGGAGATCGCTCCTGTTACTGTTCGCGGAAGGAAGGGCGACACAGTTATTGAGTCTGATGAGGGATACCTCGACGTCAAGTTCGACAGGGTGCCTACCCTGAAACCGGCCTTTGTGCGCGACGGCACCGGCACTGTCACTGCTGCCAACTCCTCCACGTTGAACGACGGTGCCAGTGCACTTGTTTTGGGCAGCAAGGAGATTGCGCAAAAATACGGTTCCGATTCTCGAGTGCTGGCAAAGATCTGCGGCTCGGCCGACGCCGCGGTTGATCCTATCGACTTCCCCATCGCTCCAGCCAAGGCGGTACCCATCGCACTTGAGAGAGCGGGTATCACCAAAGACCAAGTCGCCGTATGGGAGTTTAACGAAGCTTTTGCCGCTGTCATCAAGGCAAACGAAAAGGTATGATAAGCGTCCACAATCAGTCAATCAATGAAACGCGACTAACAGCCATTGGGTAGATTCTCGGATTGGAGGGTGCTCGGGTTAACCCTCTCGGCGGAGCGATCTCCCTCGGCCACGCCCTGGGTAGCTCCGGATCGCGAATTATCGTCACTCTGCTGCACCAGCTGAAGCCTGGCGAATACGGTGTTGCAGCCATCTGCAACGGAGGCGGCGCGGCCACGGCGATCGTCGTGCAGCGTGTCGAGTCCGTGTAATTGGCCATGTGTCCATCGTCGCGGGTAGGCTTCCCGGCAGCGTCTAGGCTGGGTGAAAAAGGGAAGTGGCATGCACAAGATGCTTACCTTCATGCGCGAATTAGAAGCTACCTTCCGCCCAGGTTAGGATGATCAAAGCGGATTCGGCGCGTTATATGAGAGGGCGTAAATTGTGAAAAACTGGAATTCAAATGGAAAAGCAGACTGTGCTCGGATGCTTTTGGAAATGCGATATCCCATGTAGAAAACTTGACGCAGATCATTCGTAAATGTTACTCTTGACAAAGTATGTTGAAGCTACCCAGGAAAAGTGACGACCGACCAGCTCCATGTACGGCTCCACTCACCGAGCACGT